AGACTGGTACTATTTCTGAAAAGAACACTTTACTCAAGCAGTCGTCAATGAGCAAAGTAGATTACTAGAATAAGGTGATGAAAGCAGTAAGACTTTTGAGACAGTCAAATCAACATCTTCATTCATAGGGTAAGATTTTGCCTTTTATCTAAGTGTATATGAAAACACAGAGTAAGTGTAACTAACCACGTGAGTTCAAAGAAGGCAACAGGACATCCAAGGTGTCACTGGAATTTGGCAAAATGGAGCTTAAGTCTGGCATGTGGTAGATCCTGCTCAGAGGAAAATGAGCAAATGGAAAGAGATGGTGTGTGTGTGTGTGTGTGTGTGTGTGTGTGTATCTGCCTGTAGAGACACAGACATCCTTCAAGAAGCTGCAGTGCATTTCATGGGAGGGAAGAACAGGGCTCCATGCATTCTCCAGATGGCTGGGGAGGCGTGGAGGGAGGGGGCCATTCCTACTTAGGATTATAGAGTTCACAGTGACGTGAACTTCCAGTATCCTAGCACTTACAGTGAAGGCTCATTACCTGAAGCGCAGGAACCAATATGGGAGAGAGTTGGGGAAGTCTCATTCTTTGAAATGTAGAGAAAAGATAGGTAGGAGCTTGTGGCCTGCCTGTGACCCTAAAGAAAGGGAGAAACTCAAGAAGAGAAGAGGCCCTGTAAAATGAAATGAATCGTGACTAATCCCAGAGAGGTGGCAACAGGGATAGATCTAAAGGAGCTATTGTGTTTTTCATGACATGTTCTGTTTAGAAAAGGATGTGTACAAAGATAGAAGGAAGGGCACAGTACCAAGGACAAGCTGAGAAGAGTGACACATTTCTGTGAGAACAGTGGCCAACTTGAGCCAAGATTTGAAAAAAAAAAAACCACCCCAAAACTGCAGTTGGTTAAAAAAAGAAAAAAAGAAGTGGTGGTGGCTTATATTTAAGATTTGAAAAGGGATGAGGCCCATCACTTAGGGATCTTGGTAGCATGTTAAGAGAGGAGAGTAAAAATAAAGTGACTCAACTGCTTTTTATGCCTCGCTTCTCTGCAAAAGCAAAGTGGTTTCCTAACTAGCATGATTTAAAGAAGCATCAAAACACATAAGCAGTAGCAAATCTGTGAATCTCAGTAACAGAGCACCTGCCGGGCGTGCAGAGAGTCCAGGTTAGAGGTCTGCCTCTAAAAAATAAAAATAAAACACTGGACATCCAGGGAGCAGGTGTGGTACAATAAGTGGGTTGTCATTTTAGTCACCAATCTCCAGGCACTACAGAAGTTCTGGATAAGCCTAAAGAAAGACAACGGAGCCAATATACCACATTCCTCGGGTACTAGTACAGATAGGGAGAATTCTAGAAAACTACCTCTGGAAAATGTCAAAATTTACCCAAGAAGAAAACATATGGTTTCTGCTAGTTGGACCAATAAGCCTGGCACAACTGGAGGCTGCCTATAATTTAGAGAGGTCTTTTGCAAAGGAAAAGATAGATTCTGAGAACTAGCATGGATTTCAGAAAAAGAAGTCAAACCCAAAGTCTGTACTTTTTTTTTTTTTTGGTCATACAGGCTACTTAAAAAGGTGACTGATGGAAAGGTACATAAAAAACTATGTACAGTAATCCCTCACTATTTCATGGTTTGACTTTCATGGATTCAACTGTTTTGCAGGTTTTCAAACAATATTAATCTAAATTATTTATCACAGTTTTCGCAGTATCACAGGATTCTGCCGTACTGTACAGTATATATACGTTGTTAAAATTATATAGGTTTATGAGTTTAGAGAATGGTTAAGAACATTAGAAGTGTTTTAAAAGTGTGGGAAGGGCTTTTAAAGCCCCAAAATGTATATAAATACTAAAATACATATAACGATGCTACTTCGCTGACTTTTACTTATTGCGGGGGTGTCTGGAATGTAACCTCCACCATAAGTGAGGGACCACTGCACTGTGAATCCAAAAAAGAAACAAAAATAGGCTCTGCCTCTATTAGACCCTAGGTAATTGGGGTGCATGATCCTAGGGTATTCCTATAATTGGGCGTCATACATTTCTGCACCCAGCACCCCATTGGCAGTCTCTCTGCTTCTCCTACATGGTGTTTCCTCTGGCCAACTCAACTGTGGCACTGTTGGTCTGGCTGGCTGTTTCAAGGCTCAGATCCAACAGTACCGCCTCTAGGAAAGCTTTCTCTTTGGCCCCTGGGCGATGGGAAGTCCCTCATCCATGCAGGCCAAGGGCTCTGTGCACTCTAAGGGCACAGCAGTGTTCCTCCTGGGCAGCACCTCACACAGCTTGTGTCTTGCACCCTGAGGACCTGCAAGCTTCTGAAAGGCTTGCATTTCCATAGCCCAGCACAGCCACCAGCAGCACAAGGAAGCTTCAAGACATAGGGCCTGAGTCACTTACAGGTTCAAGGTGAAATGTGAAGAAGGCTGTTTCACTGTGTTCCATGCAATTCTCTTAACACTGTACTTTTCACCAGTGACTTGGAATTATAACATACTTAAAAGACTACAAAGGTCATAGACAAGGGCAATTAGGTAAAAAGCTCAAGGGTCAAGATCTATCTGCAGACTTGTCATAAATCCTAAAAACAGAGATAACTTTTTTTTTTTTTAATATGGGTTGATGTTCTTGATTTTCCCATAGCATCCTAAAGGAACAGGTTGGTTTGTTTTGTTTCTGGGTGAAAAAGCCAGAAACAGATGGTCAGAGGCAACAGATGAATATGTAGGTACTGATGGAATGCCGCATTAAGGAACCATAGTCCCTGCAGTCCTGTCCAATACTTTGCACTACGCACTGCCAAAGATGGATAATATATTGAGTATATCATGATTTAACATTATCTCACTGACTATATTTTATAATGTAACATCAGTAAGTTATTTATTATGTATGTTTGTCTATATTTTCAAACTTTATGGACACTGGGAAGAAAACTGATAACTAATTATAAAGTTTTAACAGGAACAGTCATGAAGCTTTATATTAGGTCTTAAAACAATTAACTAGCTCTCTATAGAGTAGGGAATATATGATTTTATGCACCCATCCCCCAATTCATCCTTTATCCATTCAGCCTGAGCACTCATTATGTGACACACACTGTGTTAGGATCTACAGATTTAGTGAAAAATAAACACTGCCTCCCCTGAGCATACATAGGGGAGAAATGAATAATAAGAAGATAATGAAATAATTTCAAATGCTGGTAGAGCCATGAGTAAAATAGATCACTGTGTGATGGAGACAGAAGAGGCCTTGGGGTTAGGGCCACACAGATGCATCTTTAAGACTTGTAGGAATTTTATGTAAAGAAGAGCCAGGGCAGATCTGACTAACTGATGAAGGCCATCTTAAGAAGCAGGACAATTAAAAAGTAACTTCAGGCCTGGGTCATATTAGCCGAAGTAGAACGGTGAAATCTAGGGTGGTGACAATCCCACTGCCTCTGTGGAAGTCATAGCACTTCCAGACCCCCTTGTGCAGGCCATCTTCCTGCCAGTGCTACAGTTTAAGTCATTGAATATATTCATGAGAGGGGTCTAGAAACTCCACCTACGGAGGCAATGTTGAGACCAAAGAGGTTCAGTTTGCAGAAGGAACTACCAGACAGGAAACTTTAAAATATAATTGAATATTCAAGAAATTGAGAGGAGAATGGTTCCATTTTGTGTTGTTCTAGGAATCCAAGCAGGAGCTAGTGAGAAGACACTATGGTACAGTTCAAAACAGGAAAGATGTTCTCCATGGAATCAGGGCTACACAGAAGTGGAATGGGCTTTTATAGAGAAGCAAGCATCCCATTTCTAGAAGTAGTCAGAGATTGGATAAACATCTGTTAAAAATAGTGATTACAGAATTACTATAGAGTGCAAAAGATTTGCTTGGGCGGATCTTTATATCTCTGAGTGGATGGTATCTCCTCTTGGAACAACAGATCCTCTTTCAAACCTTTGAATCACAAACAACAATAATGCTGAATACTTCAGGTTTCTCTTTCTTCTTAAGAGCTTTTGTTTCCTTGGAAAAATGATGTCTTAAAGAAAAAGAAACTGATTCTTCATTAGTAGTGGGCTTGTCTTATCACTGGGGCAGAAAAATGTCTTGATGGGACGCCTGAGCCTGTGCAGGAATACGTGAACTTCTTACCTTCCCTGCCTTCAGTAACAGTGAGAGGATAGTGGATCCCTTAGAGATTCTCACACTTAGAAGAAGCCTCCACTTACTAGCACAGTGTGACAGAGACTCAAGCATGAGGGCCAGAAGTCACATCAGGGTTCCCACTAACAAGCATTTTAATAGAAATGACCATATGATGCTTTTGTTCATCTCCCCTGTGAATGTGTGTAGACGTATTTTCGTGTGTATAACTGCAACTCTCTGCAGTTGGTACCTTATAATATCAGGTAACCCATACCTCAAGGTTCAGGTCAGAGACTCAGTTTTACAAAGGAACTCTGCACAACTCTATTGTAAGCATAAAGCCTCTCCCTCCCTTTGGAATGTGGATTTATCTTGAGCAAACAAGTGCTCCACTTTCCCTTCTAATGTTTTTGTTTTTTTTAAGACAGGATTTCACTATGTGGCTCAGGCTGGCCTTGAACTCACTGTAGCCCAGGCTTGCATTGAACTCGCTGTGATCCTCTTGCCACAGCCTCTCAAGGGTTGGGATTACAGGCATGTACCACCATGCCAGGCATAAATTTTTTTGTAAGGTCACATCTACATTGAATGCCTTACTTGGATTCTGTAGTATATATCATCAATTCCACTGCTCAGTGTAATCATTTTATGATTATGATTTAATAGAATATCAATTCTATCTGATTCATATTTGAAATAGAAACTAAATAAAAGCCTACTTAAATTAAAGCTTAATTTAGTGATTAACTTGAATCCCAGGCTGGTATATTTTTTTATTTACTTTATAAATAAAACATGGATTTTGAAGGACAGTAGAAAGAATGGTAGATTAAGTTCAGTGAAATACTATACCTGAACCACAGACAACAAAAACAAATAGTGCCAACAGCCATGGTCCTACAGGGTATTTTTCTTCTTGTGGCCTCTAAAAGCAAAGAGAAAAAGCAACACTTATTACTGGGCATTGGGCTGGGTGCTACTATGAACAAGACAGGCTTGGTCTCAATTCTTAGTGGACAAATGCAGATGCATAAAGTGGATTATAGAGGACTCATATAAGCTTGAGAAAAGTAATCAACAACTTTTTAAATACCTTGAAACTCAATGAACTTTGTGGTCTTGAATATTCTTGGGTATATGAAGTGTACATCTATATACACTAATATAGTAATTTTGGAGACAAAATGGTATTGGTGATATTTGCTTCCATCTGCTGAAAGCACACTCCAAGCCACCACTCCTGGGCAGTCTACACCTGTTATCTCCAGCACGCACAACACACGCAAGGCAAGCATTATCCTTATTTCCTCTTTGTAGCTGAGCAACTCAGGTTCAAAATTTGTTAACCTGAGAAAGAGCTGGAATTCGGTTCATTACAGAGCGTGGGCATTTTTCATTGCTAAAGTCACCTGTCATTCCCACCTCTGTGTGCTCCATGCAGGATCAGAGAGCGTATTTTCTCAGCTCCATCTGTGTATCAATAATTTGTCAAGTCAGTGCAGTAGACCTCTTGGGACAAAAGAAGCACCTTGCAACTGTGACTGCATGTGAGGGAGGCAGTATTTTGCAGTGAAGGCCTAGACTTCAAAGCAGCCTGTGCTTTTGAGAGGTGTATGCACACCCTGGCAGGCAGAAAGGCCACACTACACAGGCAGGAAGGTAGCCCCTTGGGCCTCAGGCTCTCTCCTAACCAAGAGCTGTGAGGTAACAAGTACAGCCCTCCAAAGCACTTGTAGGTCAATGTGTGGGTGGTCTTTCAAAGCCACTCAATGAGCGGAACAACATATTTCCTGGAGAGGCATCAGGAAAAGCAGAATAAATAAAGGAGGAAGAAAATGGAAAGAATTTACTTCTTCAGTAGCAAAAGAGAGGTTGCAGTCAGCATCAGTGAAAGAGCTCTCTCTCTCTGTCTCTTACACACACTTCACACCGTGTCACTCACAGAACAATGTCCTATACAAGCAGATGCTTCCTTGTAACAGGAATCATAAAATCCAATTTCACGTTTCCATTAGATGGACTGACATTTTAAAATATATTAAACAAATAAAATATGAGCTAAAAGGGAGTTGATCACATGAATTAAAAAAAAGAGCAGTACTTTTACTGGGGAGGCTATTTTCTGAAATGTTGAACAACTTTTAGTAAAGTTTCAACAAAAATGTAATTGTCTTTTAATTTTCATTATTATAAAAAATGAAATTAAGTTCATATAGATAAAAACGTAGATTTTCATCTTAAAAGCAATGTTTTTTTTTTTTTGCTCCGAATGCCTTCAAGGCATGACTGGCTGTCTTGTGTTGTGGGGATCGAACCACAGCAACCTGAGCCTGACTGCTTTGTTGAAGCAGCCACTTAAAGAACTGAGCTAAGGGGCAGGCCCCCTATGTTTGTTTTTTGGTAGCACTGGGGACTGACCTCAGGGCTTTGCTATATTAGGTAACAGTTTATTAGTTTTCAGCTTACCTGTTACATTCCTAGACAGCTTTTCTTTTCTTTCTTTTTTTTTTTTTTTTTTGTATTTTGTGCAGGGTCTCACTATGCAGCTCAGACGCCCACTGAGCCTCCTGTTTTCTAAGCCTCCCAGTTGCTGGGATTATAGGCATGTGTCACCACACCTGGATTTAGTCACTAGCTCAGTGTGCCAGGGGGCGGGGCCATTGTGGCATGTGTTGCCAGGGATTGAACCCCAGTCCCTGTGCTTGCCTAAGCAGGGGTTTAGTCCATTGAGCTATCTCGCCAGCCCTTCCTTTTTTGTTGTTGGTTTTTTTTTAAAAATCTCTGATAAATTCATTTGTAATTTGTATGGCCATGTAACTTTTCTTCACAGCATTTATTACAGTTTATTGCTCTATATTTACTCCTGTAAAAATGTGTTCAGTGTGATCTCTCCACTAGATTCTCGGGCCCACCATTGCTTCTTTTTTAGATAGCAATGTATAAAAAAGACTGGCACAAAATTCAAACTTAACTTCTCATTTGAGAGTGAATAAGAATACAAATTTCATTAAATACAACTTCTTAGGTCAAGTAAAGTCTGGGTCTAGGTAAGTTATTATTATCTTTTAATTAATACTTCCTAGGGTCAGCAAGACAGCTCAGCAGTCTAAAGCACCTGCTTAGGCAAGCTTAGGCAGGCACAGGAGACTGTGATTCAATCCCGCTACCACATACCATGCCAGCCCTGCCCTCAGGGTGGGCTGGGCTGGCAAAAAAATTAATACTTCCTAATTGGTGCTAGGGTTGCATTTCTCTTACTAGAGGGGCATCAAATGTCCAGGGCCAGTACTTTGACTAAGGAGTAAGCCATGCACTTCCCTGTCCTTGACAAGCTCCCATCCATCACCATTTACGTGCTGGCAAGTCGCAGGCACTGAGCGGTAGAGCAGATTGCTGCTCTTGACCAGAGGAGGGCAAAATCAGTCTCCAATAATTGCAACAAGGTCCAACTCAGACTATGTAAATAATAGATATTAAATAAAGTTCTCCCAAAGAGTATGACATTTACCCTTCCCCATCCTCTTCCACAACTTTTCTAACAGTTTATCAGAGTTGTCCAGAAATCAATTCTGTTGTCATCACACCACTCATGCTGCATAAAAAATTCATTCTAGCACTATCTTCAGCAAGCCAACAACTGAATTCAGGAGCCCATAAACGAATCTTTACCCTAGTACAGCTTCTAAAAGGAGTCCTACATTTTTCAGTAGAAAAAAAACCAAATTACTAGCAGGTAGAATTTGGAGCAAACAACATAAAAACTTTTTGATATAAAGAGATATCAAAAAGAGATATAATTTTTTTATATTTTTCTAGTGAGATTTTCTAGTGGACTTTCAGAGCTCACAAATATTTGGCTGACCATAATATCAACATTTTCTTTTTTTAAAATTTCCTGGGGCTGGGGAGATGGCTCAGTGGAATAAGTGCTTCCCTGGCAAGCGCAAGGGCCTGAGTTCAATACCCAGTTCCACCAAAAAAAAAAAAAAATTTCCTGTACTAGGGATTGAACCCAGAAGCCCTCTACCACTGAGCTACATACCCAGCTATCACTGTGTCTCTGTCTCTGCTTTTCCTGAATTGCCCAGGATGACCTTGCACTTGCAATCTTACTGCCTTAGACACCCAAGTAGGATACATTTCTTTTTGAGAGCCTTGGGTTACTTTTGTGGGAGGCGTGGTGCAATGCAATGCCCACTGGGAAAATTCATATAAACCTGACTCTGTTACTTGAAAGGGTAAAGACAAACAAGAGCAATTCTGCAAATGACAAGGTTCACTTAAAACCTGGGGCTCCAAAAATGTCAGGAGATGGCTTTCCCTGTGATAAGATACCAGCTGAGGAACTCAGTAAATTTCTTTTTTTATTGTAAGAGGACTTGCTACTTTATGATCACAAATTATTATTCCATTTCTTTATCCTTAATGTGTTACCTGGAAGAAAACTATTAACTTCAAAGCTGTTAGCTAATAATGAACTACTGAGTCATTAAAGGAGAAATTGATTTCAGAACAAGTAGTCTGAATTTTCAGTTGAAATCTGTAAATACTTTCCCATTGACTGAATTTCATCCTGGGTAAATTGTCTTTTCCAAGTTAGTTCTATTGAAGTATAATCATATTTGGTTAGTAATTGGGAAAATGAGATTTAGAATTTATAGTTTCTTTTTGAAAGGGAATTTCATTTTTTCTTTCTGGCTCTGGATCCACCGGAAATAAAGCTAACCAAAAGCTCCTTCAACCAACTGACAACGAGCATGTATTGTGGCTTGGTTGGGAAAACTTTCATTACAAATTTAGGTGGGCCATTTAAAACCCCTCAACTCAACAGACTCAGGCCTGCCTCAATGCTCAAGGTCACAAAGCCAGTGACTTTTGGAGGGATCACCCTATGTTATATCAGATCCTATTAAATACACTCATCCTATACATTAAGTATAATTTAAATTTAGGTCTGAAATTTGAGTTGAGATGAACTGCAGATGACTATTATTTTTATACAACATTTTCTCAACTGTTTTGCTTTCTTCTCCCATTTTGGGGTCAATAACTTTTGTTTCAGAACCAAAACATTGCCTCATAGTCTGTGAAAAGCTAAAAGTATAGACAATGAGTCTACACAGCTAATGGGCACAAGCAAGTTAGCTATTACTCACTTGTTACTTTTGCACACAAATTAACTTGTCAACTGAGGTCAGTTAACAACTGCATTTAGGTTCCTCAGTATATTAGAGAGACCCACATATTTTCACTGTGTCACCACGTAGGTTTGATACTTTCAGAAAGAAGAATTGATCTCTTAGGAATATAAATCCTGCATCTTTAATATCAATTAAATATTGTTCAGAATCAATACAGGCAGCAATTTTTTCTGACAAAAAATAGGGGAAGTGTAAGTCAAGATAAAAAATTGTTCCAATTCTATGGTACATTGGCATTTTGCTGCCCTAAGCACAGCTAAATGATCTATTCCCAAATGAAGGACTTTTAAGGATTCATACTTACTTAGAACTGTACATAAAACTCTTAAGTAAAGTTTAAACCCAAAGTTTCTCTGCTATAACACAGCTTTGCAAAAACCTCAGTGTAGTGACTGCAGATGCAGTTCTTTACTCAGTTAATCAAGCCAGTATAATTTCTTTGGCTAAAAGGAATTGTCTCCTCGAATCTGCCAGCTTTTTTAGCCAAACCTCAAGCTTGGGCTGGACTTCTAGTTAACTGTTCGGAATAATCGATTCCAGGTGCCCTTGCTCATAGATTTAGAGACCAGCTCCTCTCAGCAACTCAACAGACTCAGGCCTCCCTCAATGCTCAAAGTCACAGGGCTGGCATTTTCTGTTGAAGACAATGTCCTTTACAAAAAGAAATCCCTGTTCGTATGTCACAGGTTTAACTCCACCTTCAGAGCTTTAAGCTGGGGACACAGAACACAAGCTGGTCTCTACAGCTAGACTGTTAACGCGAGCCTGATTTCAGTGGGTAGACATGAGCAATGCTGTACTTAAACTTTCGCCCAATGTTGAAGGGAGACCTCATTGGAAAACGGAAAAGGTGTACAGAGGGAAATGTGGGTCAGAATCTCACTCCTTACTCCTCACTCTTTCAACACACACACACACACACACACACACACACACACCCCTGTACAAAGAGGCTGGGAAGAAAACCTCACCATGGTGTGTGTAAAGCCAGGGGCGGAGTCTGGAGAGGGGGATGATAAATGGCCCCATTTACTCCTTCATTCATTCAACAACCGTTCTAACACCCACCAGGTTCTGGGCCCTGTGTATGCACAGTTGGCTGACTGTCTCTTAGGGGTGTGACTTTTTGTTTTTCTGAAGGACGTTGGTCTAATTGTCCTGGGAAGAGCCTCCATCCTCCAAGGTAGCCGGGGTAGCCACTCCCAGAGGGGCCGCGGCCAACCAGGGCCCACTCCGCCCACGAAGGGGGGCGACTCGGTGCCCCGGCCCAGCGCGGAGCACCCCCTTCCCTCCGGGAGCCTGGAGGCCGCGCCCGCCTACCCACCCGCCCGCTGGTTCTGTCCGTCCGCCCGGCCGGCGCCGCCCCTCCTCACCAGGGTTTTGGCTACGTTTCCCCTCTGGGTGATGTTTTTGCTGTGCTTCTCGTTAGCCATCCGGATCCGCTGTTTGGCCACCATGGCTTAGGCTCTCCGAAAGGCTCTCGATCCCGCCTGCAAGGACCCCCAGTTAGCACCCGCGACCTGGCCGAGCGCGTCCGCAGCGGCCCCCGAGCCCGCCGGGCTCTGCGGTGGCCAGGCGCCCCGAGCCCCGCGCAACACCTCCGAGCCCAGGCGAGCCGGCTCCAGAGAGAGGCCGGCGCCCGGACGGAAGTAATCTCTCAGCTCAGGAAACCCGCTCCGACTTCCTCGCCATCCTTCCGGTCCCCCCAGCCACCTACCCAGCGCGGCCCCCGAAGCCGGAGGCAGGCGCGGCCGCTCGTCCCCGCAACGAGCGAGCGGCCAGGCACCGTGCAGGGCCCGGGCCGCCCGCGTGTCGCCGTCTCGAGCCAGGCGGGCGTTGCGATGCAGCCCAAGTGTTGGTGCGCGCGCGGGCGCGGGCTGTGGGCGCGGCTGTGGCCAGGGTCGTGGGACCCGGAGCCACCCGGGCCGGGAAGGGGCCACAGATGGCGGCCGGGCCTCAGAGGTCAAATAGAACCCGTCGGGGCTGGGCCTGCACTGCTGGGGACGGGGCAGAGAAATCTACCCTTGGAGCCTGTGGAAGGAACCCGCGTTGGGGATGCACGAAGGGACTTTAGTGCCAAGAGAAACCAGGAAGGACGGTGGCCAGGCTCCTGAGGACGGAGTTAGGAAAGACCTTTCATGCCTTGGTGCTTGTGGGAAGTACCCTGAGAGCAGGGTCAGGGGTGCATCTGAGCACTGCACCAGGAACAGAAGGATGCAGAGGCTTTGGGCCTGCAGCCCAGATGGGATTTGGTGGTTACTACTCAAAGCCAAAGCTCTGACCAGCCTTGGCTCCCTATCAGCCCTGGGATAGCTTAGGCCTCCCTGCCTTGTTCCAGGAGCCTGAAATACACTCCTAGACTGAACCGGGGGTTTCCAAGCCGTGAAAGAACGAAAACAAGTTTTTGCTCCCAGACTGCTCATAAGACCTTACAGATTGACCCCGCGTGAGAGGAAAGGGCTCAGGCCTTCTGGTTTCCACCACTGCACACACTAGAATTAGCTCTTAGAAGCCCAGGAGGGGCAAACAGCCCCCTTTTGGAGCCTTGGGAAGTTGGATCCAGGTTAGGATAGCTAAGCGCTAGCATCGTGGGGTGGAAGTGGAGAGCTGTGGCCACAGGCCAGCTTAGCTGATGTGGTTTCAGTCTGTCCCTAACTTGGGTATGATGGTGTCTTGTGGGGGCAGAATTCCCCTCAGTGGGAAGTTAGAAAAAGCTCCTCCTTTGACATCTTCTCTAAGCTGGTCTCCTACTTCACATGCTTCTTGTCATTTAAGCTCCAGCACAGACCATTTGGGGCTGTGTGCTGTAACCCCAGAGTTAGATGGAACATGAGTGCTCTTTTTAAATGTTTTCTATTCTGGAGGCTACTTCTCTTTGAAATGAGCTGCCACTGACTTTGTAACTGTCACCACTAACATTGTCACCAATATCACAGGACCACACAGAGTCAGCCCCACTCCAGGCCCATGCTTTTAAGAACCATTTCTTTGCTGGGTGTGCATGGTAGTGATTGTTAAAGGCTCTAGTAGGAAACTGAGGCAGGAATATTGTAAGTTTGAGGATCCCCAGAACTTAGAGATTTAGTAAGACCCCATCTCAGAATAAAAATTGTGGGGGAGGGAGGATGTGCAGAGACCTGGGTTCTCTCCAGAGCTCAACTGATTCTGATCTCTGAGGCATGGTCAGGAAGAGAGGAGACAGGGACTATTTTCTCTCTGAGTTTCTTAGGAGACAGAAGCCTGCTTTCTTACAGCTTCAGACTTGTTTTAGAAAAATAGTTTAACCTTTGACTTCAGCTTGTTACTGACCAGTTTTATTCCTTTATATTTCACTTTTTAAAAAAAGTATTTGGTACAGGGTCTCACTATGCAGCTTGACTCCTAGTGACCCTCCTGTTTTCAGCCTCCCCAGCTCTGGGATTACAGGCCTACACCACCACGCCTGGTCCCATTGACCAGCTCAGCTCGCTTGGGGGCAGGGCTGGCCCCTATGCTTTCCTGAGCAGGTACTTAGTCTGTTGAGCTATCTCACTGGCCCTATTTTTCCACTTTCTAGCATTCTAATTTGTTTCATTTATAAATGGAACACATGCTCACTGGAAACAGTCAAACAGAATGCAGAGTGGAAAATGAAGGTCTCTCTCCCCCTCAAATAATTTCCCAAATTGCTGGGTCACTCTTTCAGTATTTTCCATATGTATACAAGCCTATTTGTATATTTCCTGCTAAAATCTGAATAGATTTATGGTGTACAGAATTTTATGCTGTTTACTTTCCTCATTTAATTTATTAACAGCATTAACATATTATTACAAACTAGTTGCATTATGTACCAAAGTATATGTGGTAATAAATTGAACTGTACTTGTGCAAGTATATTTGTGCATAGTATTATAAAATCTATAATTTGTCTTAATCAGGTTTCCTAACATAACTAGGATGGGGGCTGATTACCAGAAAAACCAGCACAGTAGAAGGTTGTAACACTAATCCCCACCCCTACATCCAGAAGGAGAGAGAGGCTGAAGGTTGAGTCCATCTCTAATAACCAATGATGTAATAGGTCACACTTAAGTAATAAAACCTCTGGAAAAGGCCCCAAAGATAGGGTTCAGTGAGCTCCAGATAGCTTAATACATAGAGGTTTCTGGAGACTGTGGAAGGGCTGTGCCCCATTCACCTACTTAGCCTCATGGAATTCTTCCATCTGGCTGTACATCTGTAGGCTTGCCTTTACAACAAGTGTATGAAATGTTTGCCAGAGTCCTATGAACATTCCAGTAAATTAGTCAAACTCAAGCAGAAAGGAATGGGGACCCTGTTTGTCAGAGGTACAGCTGACAGTCCACTCCTTTTGATCTGCATCCAAAGGTACAGCAGGCTTCTGAGACTGAGCCCTTAGTCTGTGAGATCTGAGGCCATCTCCAGGTGGACAGTGTCAGTACTGATTTAAACTGGAGGGCACTGAGCTGGTGTCTGTGCAGCATTGCCTGGTGTGTGGGAAACACCCCCCGCCCCCCGACACGTCAGGAGGCAGTTTGGCTGTGTGAGGAAAGGAAAAGCACTTTGGTTTTTCCTATCTCACAACACTGTGGAATTAGATTCCTAAAAGTGAAATTACTACAATTTTTTGTTTTCTTTGGTGCTATTTTTTAAGATGAGGAAACAGCATGCTGTGATCCTCACTTCATATGTCTGTCTGTCCCTTTGTTTTTGTTCTCTGCAGTCAGGGCAGCTCCTTTACAGATCTCCGTTCTGCTTATTGCCCCGAGGATCATTTTCCCTCCTGGCATGTATCTTGATTTTCTACTCGTGAGCCTCAGCCTCCTGTACACTAGAGAATGTGCAGCCCATCCCCACGATCCTTCTACAGGGGAGCTGAGGCTACATTCTAGAATTAGGTCCCTAGAATTCCGTAGTAACTGAGTTAGGAAGGAGTTCAGCTTATGGTCATTCTGCTTTCCATAGATGGCAAGGCTTAGGAGAGGAATGGAAACTTGGTGAAGAGTTAAAAGTTAAGTTCCCCTGGGTCATTCTATGTTGGCAGCAGGAATTTTGTGACATGTCAGTGTCCAGTCACAACTCTTAAAATTGCCATGGCATAGTACTAGAAAACTGGTGATTATAATTTAAATTTGCAGAAAAATTTTTCAGCATTTAGAGAAGGGTTTCCTAACAAACCTATGTACATTAACCCTAAATCTGCCCCATTTAGAGCACCAGAATTGTGACTAAATGATGAATTATCAAAGCCTACAAATGCTACACTGCTGATCTGTGATGTAGTGGGTGCCTATCATTTCTGCTATTGAACAGTATACATGCCTTTCTATGTTGGGGACTCCCTCTTTCTGTGGATCTTATGACCTCTCCCATTATAGAGTGTGAGGCGGCAAGATACCTGGTGTCCCAACTTCTCCCACCCAACAGCCAATCAGATGCTGTTTGGAACTTTGAATATTGGCCAGGTGGTGTGAAAACAAAGGGAAAAGTTAAATTTCCACCTGGTGGTCAGGTCCCCTGAGGTAGACAATCTCTAAAAGGCAGGCAGTATCTAGCCACCATGGTGGTGAACCAGGTGACAGATCAATTCCTATTCCATTGGCTAGTGTGTGTAAACAACCAAGCTCATTGACTAATGGACATAAAAACAAAAGACTGGGATGTCTTTCTTGGTCATGTCCTCCTCTAGATCCAGAAAGATGGTCATGTCATTTGAAGTTTTCACACATTGTCAGTAAATGGCTTTTCTTTCCAAAGGGAACTGAATAGGTGCAGTGGGTGATGGGTGTGGTTGTCAGGTATACTTTGACATTTACAACACTTGTAGTTTCCTCCTTATCCAGTTTTTGCACTACATCTGAAGGAGAAGAATATTTGGCACATCTCAAATCTCTCCTCTTGTACATAAAGCTTAGTTGCTTGTGGAAATGTTCAGAGAAGTACCAATACTGGGCAAAGAAAAACAAGAAGAAAGCTCTCAGCCGGTGTCACCTGCTTCATACACCGGCGTTCAGCTCAGTGAACTAGGTTATGGTTTTATGGAGTCTTGTTTTACTGTGAAAGAAACTGAACAGTCACTCACTCTTGTGTTTTGTGTTTTCTGAGTGTCTGCTATATACTAATCACTATTTTAGATACTGAGAACTTAATAAAAGGACGATTGCCGTAGGGAACTCTGGGATCTTTTTGAGGTAGGGGTGTGTGTGTGTGTGTGTGTGTGTGTGTGTGTGTGTAAATAAGTATAGATTGTGCAATTGTCCTAATTTCACAAATAAGCATTAATCTCAGAATTGTAAAGGGAATTATAGCAGAGCTGAAAGCAATTGATTCCTACTGTCTTACTGTTTTTGTACATTTACCTTGTAACCTTGAGTGGGAACCACGGTAAAAAGGCTCTTCACCAGTTGAGTTTTTTGAGAAGTTTATTTGTATACAAAAATAAATCACACACATGCACATATACTACAAAACGGAGATCATATTTTAGATGAACTTTGGTTACCAAATTGTGACACAACATAGAATTTAACCATGAGGATAGCTTTGTAATTCTTTGACTATTGAGATGATTAGATTAAGCTTTAAAATACAAGCCATTGGAACTGGGGAGATAGCTTGGTGGTCTGTGTGCCTGGCAAATGCAAGGACATGGGTTCGACCCGCGATACCGCATGCTGTGCTGGCCACCAAAACCGGGTGTGGTGTCATACACCTGTAACCCCAGCACTGGAGAGGCTGAGAAGGGAGGATCACTATGAGTCTGAGCCATGTAGCAAGATCCTGCACCAAATAAATAAGAAAATATGAGTCATTATTACCTATC